ATAATTTGGAGGTTACTTATATTAGTTAGATGTCAGCAAACCAGCAGGGTCTGAGAAGAGTCACCCAAGAGTATTCAAGGCATTGGCTGAAGTTATTGCAGAGCCATCAGCTATTTATCTAAAGACTCCTGGAGGTCAGATGAAACCCCTTAAGATTGATGAAAAGCAGATATAGTGCCCATTTTTTTAAAAGGGGAAATGGAATACCCAACAAATTGCAGACTAGTCAGTCTAATTCTGGTACATGGACCATATCATCAAACAATTGATTTGTAAGTACCTTGGGCCCAATCCTATTACTGTTCCAACCTATAATTGTTGCTTGCCTCAACATTAGGTGCCTCACTTAACAAGGCCTAATCTGATGACTTCTCCAATGTGCTCAAGTCCCCTGGAAGAGGTTATACTTATCACATAATTAACATGCTTATTTCACTATAAATAGTAACCCTGTCAGAAGTTCAGGCAATTAATAGTATGACAAAGTGAGAAAACAGCCATAAAATGTTTATGGTGTAAATATCTATATAGAGAGTGCAAAATGGTAGGGAACTGGACTCTTCATCTGTAATTTTTTTCCAGAACACTGGGAACATGGGATAGGCAATTCTTTTAGAGACTGATACAAAGTCCATTTAAGTCTGTGGGAAAACTCCCACTGTCTCCAGTGGGCATTGAATCAAGTACATATTGAATGTCCAAACATGCAAGGATTATTCAACAGGCTTCAAAGAAACATCTCAAAATGAGCATCTGGTCTTTGTGTTTCAGAAGTGTTCTGCAAGGTGTTGTACAGAATCAAGAAATTGTTCCAGCAACAGTATTTTCTTCAATTATTTTCTGTGTAACTCATCCTGTAAATAGCTTTATATTCTTCAGGCAGTAATAAACATACCACCAGGTGGCTGTGGGCTTTCTTTCCTCAGGTTTAACTGAAACCCAAAGGACAATGATTCTCTATCTCTTGGAATTAAGAACCTTATTATGACGTATGATACTCACACTCCCTTTAGATTTTCGAGATCCTGCAATAGGAGGCAGTGAAGAGGCTTTGGAGCTGTAGAAAAAAAAATACCTTAGGACTCTGAATACTATCTACGTCATAGATACTAAATGTGCATATATGTTTTCAGGCACAAAACAGTGGTCTGTTTTTTTAATTATGGAAACGCTATTTATTAATTTTTCTACTGCACTGTTTTACTAAGAAATGTTACCAAATAAAAGTTTAATCATTTGCTAACATAAATTACATTTCCATGCTTCATATACTGAAAAAACCTGAGGATAGTATCCTTTACTTAATAGGCAGAAGAGCCTCACAGCTGGTATAATCTGCACATTTCCACTAATTTCAAAAGAATTTTTCATCTTTCCATTATTTCTTTGCAAACACTTTTCACTTTTTGAGGTACATGCACTCTACAAATAGAGTGCTAAATCAATATGTATTGCATGCTAGCTAATTTGTAAAACTAGGACAAATTCTGATCTAACATTAGTTCCTAACTTACGTGATTCCATTGTTTTTAAAGGAACTATTCCCAATTTATACTAGAGAAAAAATGTAAGATGATTTGGGACAACATGTTTTTCAAAAAATGTAAAGGACCACTCCAACTTCTAGATCCTTATGCTGGATGCCATTATGAGTTAATCCTGCCCATACCTACTACCAGTATAAAATTTACTACCATGCATTGTCCATTTGAAATCAATGGGATGACTTATAGTAAGTAATAAGAAACATGCCCAGTAGTGTTTGTAACATGGCAGAGGCATTGCCTAGGTCCTGTTGAACATATAGCTAGATCCAGCTCAGCTCCCTTTCCTCTTTGCACAGGTAATCAAGGGAAGACATTGGATGCCATTAAGGAAGTTCATGTTTCACACCAAGGTCACAGGCTGGTTTACAACACCTTTCTAAAAGAGCACATGCTCAAACAAGATATAAAAATTAAGTGGACATTAAATGGTTGTAAATTAGCATAGCTCCACAGAATTCGTATAGGTATGCAAAGAAAGTGGGATCCTGATGGGGGAAGGCCAGGCTAAAGGAGCATAAAATCCTTCCCCTAGTATTTTTTTGTGGTAGACAATCTCCAATTTCAATGGCATGCTTCTGGGAAAAAAAAAATCTATCCATTGTTCTCACCTTTCTCTCTCTCTCTTTGTTAATATTATTTTTCTCCTTTTCTTTCTTATTGGTTTTGACCATTAGGTTTCTTCAAAATTATAAATACCAGTAATAGTCTGAATCCATGCTCCATTGTGTGTGCCTGGAAGTAGGGTTTTGTACTTTATTGGCCATGGTTTGTAAGCACAATGATGCAAACCCAAACACTCGAACACAATTAATGTACACAATGTGAGCTTACCCTTGCGGTCTTCTGATGGTAGACTTGCTGAAAAGTAGATCACCATAAGGCAACTTCTTAAACTTGTCTCTGCCCACTGCAATGTAAAATTGCCCATTCTCCAAATCTGACCCACTCTGAACCAGTTTTCCATCTAAAGTATAAAGCCTGAAAAATATTAGTATTAAAAGCATTAATATATTAATTATTCTAATATCCAATTAGATTTGCCAACCACATCAAAAAGCCAGTATAACCTATACCCTTAAAGAAATAATGATTTTATCTTTCTGGCCACAATTTTACCAGATTTTAAATGCAAATCTAGAGAGGCTCTCACACAACTACCAGTTTGCCAAATAAAATTAAAAATCAACCGCCAAGGAAGAATGTCAGAAAAAGATCCATTCCTTGGAAACATGGAAATCTAATTTGGAATTGATCCATTCCATTCTGGGATTTCTTTTTCCTTATCCTCACATCTGGCTGGGATTTCCCTCCCATTTAGCCATATGGGAAGAATAAACCCATCAAAAGCCTCAAATTTAGAATTTATAGTCAATTCATTTCATAGATGAAAATAATTAATAATATGTGCATAGCACACTTACTGATACAAAATACCTTGGATTATTGCTATAATTTTGCCAAATCATTTCTAAGTTATAGCAAAGTGTAGCATATATAGAACAACTAAATACCAAAAATGGATGTGTGTGTCACACTAGAGAGATCTCTAAGTTAATAGTCGCTGTAGATAAAGTAGCAAGTTGCTGCACACACAAATATTTACTGAAGCTGAAAGGAAGGATATTCTCTTGCTTGGTGATTTTTATTTCTCTTTATTCCAGCCACCTCATTTCTAAGACTGTGATCTTATAAAAGAAAGATCACAATTAAAAAGTGTGGGGGGTGGGGAAGGAGGAAATCATTCTATCCTGTGCAACGTATTCCAGAATTCAAAAGCAGAAGTATGTCTGCATAGTTAAATTTAAAATTAAAACTTGTGTATTTGATAAACCTTCTAGAGGAACCTTAAATATGCATGTTATTCATAAACTCAAACAAGTGATGATACACAAGCAAATATTAAATTTAACATCCCAACAAGCTTTTTCCAAATTATAAGAGCATGAAGAGAGATCTCTGCAAAGCTGTAATGTTCTGTATTTTATGAGACACAAAATGTTTCTTTTTCAGACAATTCTCAGCATTTTACATTAATTTTCTATAATCAGTATGAGTGAAGAAAAATCATTTGATGACTGCATTTTCTGTATTTCCGAGGTCAGGTGCCCACTGGGTTTCACCTTGCACAAAATAAGACAAACACACAACTTGTATAACTACACTCCTATCACATTTTTGTAATCCATTATGCTCCCCCGCTTCCTGAGATTTGGAAGTTCCTCAATATTCTAGGTATAGAAGATTGTGAGTTAACATAACCAGATTATTTGCTCTTAGTTTTATATACACACACACCAATCACAGCTTTCCAAAATATTAATCATTTTGCTGCTCCCTTGCACATCCAGTAAGTCAGCTTAATGGCTCCTCCTCTGTTATCACATGCATTGAGCAGGGCATTTTTTTTAGCGCAAACATCTCACAGAAATGTCAGCAAAAAACTTGACTGCCACACATAAGCCATGAGTACTAGCTGAAGGCCATTAATGATCAAGCAGGCTCACAAAGATATGGGTGTCTAAAATCAATAAGGAACCCATTTCTGAATTTACCTCATCATGCTTTGCTTGACCACACACTGCTTGAAGAAGCCTGAATAACCAAGACAAATCAAACTAGCTTAGGAGATGAATTCTGCCATAGGTGATATGTATGTGAATTTTATTTCATGTGTTTTTCTGCTTTAAATGTCATGTTTGTTGTTTCATTTACTGCTTTCTTCCTAATGAAACACCCAAAAGATTTATCATGAAATATTCAGTCGCCTCCAGCTATATTCTTCTCAGTAAGAATAATAATGGAAGTAATGGAGTTAAACATAACCAGGTATTTAAAGTAAAAACAATGACAAACAGGCATTTAACAATAAAACTGTGTGTGTGTGTGTGTGTGTGTGTGTGTGTGTGTGTGTGTGTGTGTGTGTGTGTGTGTGTGCGCGCGCGCGCGCGCACGCGCGCACAGAGCACGCACAAAGTTTTATTGTTAAATGCCTGTTTGTCATTGTTTTTACTTTAAATACCTGGTTATGTTTAACTCCAATATATCTATTAATTACAGACCTGACAAGCAGCACATAGGTTATGTAACATTTATGCCTCTGCAGCCTTCACCCCACCCACTCAGTCACATCTACCTACAGCTCACCAGGTTTTTCATGTACCCCCCTGCCATCATTTCTTTGGGCCACAGGAAGATGTTCTGCTCTACCTCCCCTCCTGTGCCACAGGCAGAAGAAGGAAGCCAGGAGCAGAGGAAACAGATGCTGGCAGACAGTGGCAGTGATGCAAGGTGCGGGGGTAATGCCCCAGAACATTGGCAATGCCTAAGGGGTGCAGATGGGTGCCCATGCAACCCCTGAAATAGGCCATGCACACCCTGAAAGCTCCAGCTGTGAAATTGGAAGTGCCACCAGAAGTGCACTTCCAGTGGGCCACTGGGGGACCCCCAACCCCAGTCAATGATTGGCCACTAGGGAAACCCACCCCCAACTGCCCATTGGCAATCTGGTGCCCCCGCCCCAGACTCAGGAGGCACCAGTCACCCATGGCCCAGAATCCTCATCTGCAGGCTTGTCCACACACCTACCTGCAAGTCTCGCATCTCCCATCCCTTTGCCTACACAATTTCTATGTCATCAACCCAAGGCGTACCTCCTAATCATTATCCAACCTCAAACTTCTGGGCTGCCCATACACATGTACAACACATCTATCAGGGACTTGGCACCCATTATTTCCTGACACTTTATTTCCCGTCTTCCTTCTTATCCCATATTTCCTACAACTGGTTCCATACCAGTGGAACTTGGTGGAAAGAGTCAGTGGCATAAAAAATGTCACCAATGAAGCTTTAAAAATGTTGGCAGCTAGGCTGTTAATGATGTGGAAAAGGAAAACACCGAACATGCACTGTGTTTCTCGTAATTCTCTCACTCCTTGTATAATGAGAAGTTATATCTTCCCAGCATCAGTGAGCTCACAGGACCTTCCACCTAATGATAACACAGTTACCATAATCCATAGCAATTAATCTGTGACTTATTAAAGAACAACAATCACTTTACTAGCTTATTTAATATGTATTCCTACCATTTTAAGGAGCAGGATATGAAAACTAGGTTAATAGGAAACCAGAGGAGGGGAACACTGACTGATTCAAATATGCTGTGCACATTTTTTTTTTTATCATATCTAAAAAAAGAGAATGACTAACATAAAACACTGCCAGAAATTCTTCAACTGCAGTCTTAGTTGCAGTTTATACCCTACCAGAGGTATGACTTCCCAGCCCTACAATCTAGACAGTCACTAAGCAAGGTGCAGAGGCAGTGGCCAGAGGTCCTCTGCTGTGGGGGGAGATGTCACCTCCTTTATAGCTATCAAAATGGGTGTTAAACACTGATTTTCATGGGCAAAAACCCTGCTCTGACAACTCCACCTCCTGTAGTACCCTGTTTTTATCAGCCAGTGCCCCCACACTATGTGCCATCACCCAGGCACTGCTAAGCCCATCACCGCTGCTCAGTCCTCCCCACTGCCAGAGCTGCTGCCTGGATGGTGCAGGGTACAATGGGGAGACGGGACAGAAGGGTGAAGCACCCCACTCTCTCCATTTTGGCACCCCACACCCTGGGCAGCACTCAGGGATCATGCCCTCTCATCCACCTATCATTATACTACTATACCTACTACATCTACTCATTTGGTTAGTAGGTACAGTACCTACTACACCTACTAATAGATAACCTATTTATTTGGTTCCTTGTTACAGCAAAGAGTTGCATCCAAACATGAGAGAGAAGCTCTCATGGTTTAGATGGAAATAAAGGGTGAGATTCTCACCAGATGTCACTCCACTGAAGTGACTGGATTTATATCCATTTACACCAGTTGAAAATCCGACCCAGAAAGCAGTCATATATAGGTGCACATATACTTATTTAGATGTATATTTAATCTTAGGTGTTCCAAGGATCTTGTGAGCAAAACTTTGGGTTTGATAATGACATCAGAAAAACAGGCCTGGAGATAAAGGGACTGGACAGGTGCTACCTGGAAAGGGTCAAATTGTTTCATTTGGACAATGCCAAAATGTTTTACCTTGAATTTGTGTGTTAATTCATTTCAATTTGAATCTGCCTGACATTCATTCCTAATTTTAGTGATGTGTTATGATTACAGATAGAGTGTCAAGCTAATGAATAAAATGCACGACATTTAATAGGATATAAAAGTTTAAACAAAATGAATGGAAACATTTAAAATACATTTTGATGGTCCTGAATTCACATTTTTTAGAATTTTCATTTTGTGGAAAAGTTCAAAATGTTGCCATTTTGATCTAGTTAAGAACATTTTGTTTGCTTGCTTTAGAAATGCCAGAATTTCAATTTCCCATAGAAAAAAACCCTCCAGATAACAATCACCTCTATTTACAGAGACATAAACATATGTCAAGGCCTAAAGTTTGTATTACAAGCTTATAGCTTCCCCATACCTGTGCACAGCTCCACTTCTGAGAGTTATTTTTTCTGTAACCATCTCAAGAACATGTTCCCATTGAGTCAGTGTTTTCCTTGGGATGAAGAGACGTACTGCTGGATTTATGATGTCTCCATTAGCAATCAGACTGGAAAAATAAAGGAAAGTTAAATACATTACAGCTGTGCTTAAATTTAAAAAATAGAACTCAATAGAAACATTTAAAAAAATGTTGATCCCCTACAGAAAAAGCCTACTTACAAAATAGTACATGGCTCCTGTAGAGGTTTACGAAACCGTGCAGACACATTGATTCTACTGTGTGTAACTGGCTTTACCTGGAAGAGAAAAGATATACAAAGATTGCTTTTTTCTTCATATTAAGATCAGATTTTTAAAAATTGTTTTATTCTACTTACTTATTTGGCCAACTCCATCTTTTCCAGAAGTACATTAAACAAGCTTTAAGCTACTGCCATCTGGCAATCAGTACCTCAGTGGCCCAACTATACTGGCTGTGGATGTTTTGAAGGAATTGCTGGGAAATAATGTTTGGGACCTAGACCTCTAGCAGGACCTTATTTTTTCTTCCACCCTTCCTCAAGTGTGCATTGTGTCACTAAAATATACTCCCGATACAGGGTCTAAACTGAACTTCAGCACTCTGTAGTTTCCGCTACTGATTTTTCAGTGATGACTGCTGAGTCGCACAAGGCCCAGGGTCCCAAATTGAAGCTCCTAATTCATAAAGCTACTTTCTTATAATTCATATCTATTGTTTTGCAAAGCCAACCTTGAAGTTTCCATTTGGTAAAACACCTAAGTACCTCCAGGCCTAATATAGTAACTAATATTTTGCTCTTACATGGATCTTTACATTCAAAATTGTCAACATATTTTACAAAGCAGGGAAAGTACAAGGCTCATTTACGGATGGGAAAAATAGCTTGAGTAAAGCAATTTACTCAAGAAGGGCATGTTGGCAACAGGCAGAAATAGAATTCAGCTACCTAAGTTCCAGTTCTCTGTGCTAACAAACACACAGGCTGCCTCATTCATACGTACTTACATACATACATACATACATACTGTTTTCAGAGAGCCTTGACATTAATTTTGAAAATTATCCAATGTTATCTACACAAGACTTGCTACGGCAATCATAACATTCTTCCACCCCACCTCAAACACACCTAGAGGAAGATTTTAATTCTTCTGTATTTCACAAATCATTGAGTCAAATTCACCGCCTAAATCCCAAATAAATATCTAGAAATAAAGGAAAATAGGTTGACATTGGCATTAAGCCAGCAAAGGGTAAAAAGGTTAAAGTAGTACACAAATAGAAACATACTTTAAAATAAATTAATAAATTTAGTAAGCTTATACATCCAATAAAAGTGAGAATCATAGAGAAGTAGGGCTAGGAGGGACTTCAAGAGGTCATTTAGTCCAACCCCCTGCCCAACTCGGGATGATCCCTATCCAAACCATCCCATACAAATCCATTATCTAACCTCATAGTAAAACTACAGTTAACCCTGACACAACCCAAGACATAACACCCTAACCTGCCACAGGTAAAGCAGGGGGACCATGGCAGCCAATGTCCTGCTTCTGTAAAAGGGTGTTAGTATATGATCAAGAGATCCCAGGTCAAAGGTTACTTCCCGTTATAGTGGATGGGAAACATCCTCACTGCCCATACCAATCTGACCATGGGGTAAAAATTCCTTCCTGACCCCGAATATGGTGATTGGTCTGACCCCAAGCAGAGGAAACAAGACGCTTTAAGCCAAGAATCTCAGGCTTTAAGACCCAGGAGGAACATTAGCACACCCCAGGCAGTATCCCCAGCATTGGCTGTAATCAACATCCAATGCCTCTGAGGAAGGTTTTAAAAAAAATCTCTAGTATGAAAAAAACTACTATATGCTGGACTCTCTCAACCTATATCAGACTTCAATAATGGCTAATATTATGTCAATTTAATAAATATTCCTCATTTTAATCTGCAAGACAATATGGACTCTGAAATACTACCTCTCTCTGGAATACGAGTCACTAAGGGCATGTCTACACAGTACCAGAAAAGTGTCCACAGTAAGAGTGTCAACATTTACCATAGCAGTATTTCAAGTCAGGTATATTATATGAGGCAAAAATATATGTAAAATGGCGCTTTAAGCTGGCATTACAGTAACTGAGCATCAAAAGTCAGAGGGATAAATAGACATACACACACACATATCTATATAGATATATAGATTTAATGTTAATGCCTTTCATGTAAATGTATTTATATATGTGGAATGAAATAAATAAGAATATAACCATTTAAAATGAAACACTTAAAAAGATAAAAACTTAAATCAGAACCTGTGGCCCTATTTTAGTCACTTACATCATAAAAAGGGTTATATTGCATGCTGGAATGAATTAATATGCTGTGCATTAAATATTCATGTATATTGTAATCACAGTAGATTCATGACAGGCCTTGTACAGCCTATAATCTATTTTATTAAGCTTTATAAATTAAACTAAATAGAGACATGTTATAGTCTGGGATGCCTGCTAGTATTCTCTAAGGGGCAGAACTTGATAATGCTTCTGAAAGTAAAACTTGCTACTGTGAGAAGGTCCAGTTAAATCAATCAAATTGGTCATGGTTGTGAGTAATAACCGTGCACTGTCTAAGCCATAGGAAAAGTAGGTCACAATGCCCCAGGCAGGCAGGATGCTATGGCTCCAGTGAAGAAACCCGAACCACTGTGGCACTGTAGGGATTTGCCAAATCACACCAAACAAATCACACCACTAGGGTCATACAGCTCTGCAGTGGGCTACCTAGAATGGCTGAGGAAGTTACTGAAGCCTTGGCTCCACAACGTGCGTGCAGCATGAACTAGGAGATAGATCCCTGGAACTCCTCAGGATTACCACTTCACTTCTGCTCACTGGTAGGGGCAAAGATTTACTTCTTAGGGTCTGTTTTGTAGCCCACCCAATCTGTGCATAAACCAAGTGTATTTGGTTTATCTAAACCCCACTTAAGTCAGTGGGAGCCTTTCCATTAAGACCAAAGGGATGTGAATCAGGCCCGGGGACTTAAGAAAATCCTTGCTCTCAGAAGGGTTTCTATTTGTTGCCTGGACTTGGAAACAGAATAATAGGTTACTATGATGCATTTTATAACTGTTAATTATAGTTATAACTGTTATTATAACTATCATTTTATAACTGTTAGTTGTAGATATAACCATAGTTATAACTGTGGGGGCATGTGCACAAGATGCTTACTATGGACTTGCCCAATTAGCGCTGCGGTAAAGCATCTCTGTCTACACACGCAGAGATATTAGGACAAAGTAAACTAATTAACTTTGCCATAAGCTAGTACTGCCTGATACAAGTATTGTCCTGCTGTGGAGTTACTCACTGTGCCACAATGCACACGTAGATGAGGACAGGACTGCGTCGTCCCACCTTCTGCATCACCCTAGCTCAATATGCTGCAGTCCCGGGCGTACATGTAAACTGTGCTGGAGTTTACTGTGTCACAATAATTTCACCATGTAGATGGACCCAGTTTTGGAGAAAAGATCTTTTGTGGAGCTCACCAGGTTACGCAAGAGCCCACTACTCATTTCTGGTGTCAGATACATTTTAAGTTCCATCTTTACAGTGCTACAAGCATATCAGGTCATAGGAGGCTTTGGGGATGAACTCTCTCTCCAGGATGCAAAAGAGATCCCAAAGAAGAACATTTTGAAGACACTTTGTCAGTGTCAAAGGATCATTTGATGGTATAAACAATACAGTAAAGAGCTCCAGAGCCTGGAAGCAAGAGGGGAACATTTTGAAACATGTGATGCAACTGGCTGTGGTAACATCAGTTATACAGTCATAGTCACCAGTCTAAACAGACAAATCTACATCCTGGGCTGCCTCAGAAGTATAATTAATGGAGCCAAAGGGGTAGAGCTGTCTTTGCCCCACTACCCACTGATGTTGGCACTGTTAGGAGAGACTGAAACAGAAAAAGAAAGTGCCTTGTTCATGGTCACCCACCACATCAATGGCAGAACTAAGGATAGAATCCAGAGCCCCCAGTCCCACTGCCACGCTAGCCCTGTCAGCTATAACTGTCTCCCCCATGTATGTCTTTTGGCTTTATATTACAAAATCATTTCCTTTCAGAATTAGCTGCCCAGTGTACAAGTGAATATATGGAAGTATAATAAAACCTTTTTCTTTCTTGGTTTCACTAAAGGGATCAGAGATGCTCTGTTCACCAGGGCTCCTCTTGGGGTAACAAGGAACAATGATCACAAACTGACAGAGAGCAGATTTAAGTTAGATATCAGGAAAAACTTCTTCATGGTAAGGGTGGCCAAAATTTGGAATGGGCTTCCAAGGGAGCTGGTGCTCTCCCCTACCTTGGGGGTATTTAAGAGAAGGCTGGATGACCCCAGCTCTCTTTCCTGCCTGGGCAAGAGGTCAGACTCAATGATCTGTTGAGGTCCCTTCTGACCCTAGCATCTATGAATCTATTAAATCCACCCTAGGATCCTTTTGACCTTCATAAAGAAGTCCAAAAGCTTAACAGTGGTAATCAACCAGGCTGTGGCTAGAGATGCCTTCTTCCTGCAGCCTTTTCCGATCCAACCCCACACACTTCTGGAAGCACGCCTGGCAGGTGGAACTATTTTATGCCCCTCTGTTTCTGAGAAGAGACTGTGGGATCAAACCCAGAAGGGCTGTGGCAAGAGTGCATGCTCCAGTGGAAACCCTTTGCACAGCCTAGCCACAGGGCTGCTCTCGCTGCCAAGGCATAGACTCTGTGGTGGTGGGGAGTGATTCGGGCACCCCACTTAACTTGGCACCTGGGATTGGTGCCCCACTCACCCACTCCTAGGTTTGCTACTGACTAGTAGTATAAAACAAACCAACAGCACAGGAGAGCTCTTCATTCCCTAAAATAAGTATATTTAACCATCTCTTTAAAGACTGCTCTCTTTCAACAGACATTTTAAAAAGCCCTACACTGTACTTACGAAACTTTGTTTCTTCTAGATTTTTGGTTATTCTCTACTTACCTTATTTCCAAACATAAATCACTGTGTGCACAACCATTTTTCAATGTTGTGAGCCACCTTTCTCTAAGATTACAAACCCAACTACAAAGCTGTACAATTCCTTGTCCATTAATAAGAGTTGGGGGCTCACCTTGCCTGCATCAAGCTTAAAGATTTATTATTATGATTAGCAGTAATCAAGTTATCATGTTTATTACAGTAGTGCCTAGAGGCCACCATGAATGGGGCTTCATTCT